CATTTGTCAAAGAACAAAAGGCAGGATGCACATGACTTTCTAAATTGTGTCATAGCAGAGTCAGCTAATGAGAAAGAACGGGAAAGATGGATGAGCAGAGTCAGGCAGAGAAGGGCAGAGTCAGCTAATGAGAAAGAAAGGAAAAGATGGATGAGCCAGAACAGCCATCTTCTAGGCAAGGTCTGAGTGTCTCCTCTTCCCATTCACATAAAAATAAGGTCTACTCATTGTGGAGGCTAAAGCAGTAGGATTGCACATTGGAGGCCAGTCTGGGCTACATAGTAAGACCCCCCTCCCTCCAAAAGAAGTTTGTTGAGCAGTTATTATACATCAGTCTGTGTTCTAAGCAACTTAGATATATTAATCCTCTTAATAAATACCTAAAGTACATATTACCATTATGATTTTCTTTTTCTGGGGGGGGGTTCCAGTCGTGGGGCCTAAACTCTGGGCCTGGGCACTGTCCCTCAGCTCTTCAGCTCAAGGCTAGCGCTCTACCACTTGAGACACAGCACCACTTCCGCTTTTTTTTTTCTGCTTATGTGGTGCTGAGGAATCAAACCCAGAGCCTCATGCATGCAAGGCAAGCGCTCTACCACTGAGCCACCTTCCCAGCCCCATGATGGTTTTCTTACATAAGAGAAAAATATGGCACAGAAAATTTTAGACAACTTTTCCAAGGTCCCCAACTGTATTTAAACTCAAGCACTCTGGCTGTAGAGGACAAATTATCAACATTCTGCCTCTTGTTAATATATGATACTTCAAATATTTAAAAGGTTAAGTTTATTAAAGGTCTTGTTATGTAGCCCAGGCTGGCCTTGAACTTATGATCCTCTTGACTCAGCCTCCCTAGGCAGGAACTACAGGCATATGCCATCATAACCCATCCTTGCTAAAGATTATTTGGAAGCTAGAGATTCTATATAACTTTTCATTTTTCCCCCTGTTTTCTCTTTTCATGCTGTTTAAGTTATTCTGCCTTTTTATCCTAAAATCTAAATGTAGTTTATGACAACATTATTTTCTGTTTCAGGCTTCTCTTTCTGTTTATCTTTTTCAAAACGTATAATTATTACCTATTTATTCTTCAAGAGAAACTTCTCAATAACTTTGTTGGACTAAAATTTGGGATTCGTTTGGGTTTTAACAGTGCATCAAATGTATCGATTACATTGCCAAGTGTTTTATAGCTTCCATCTAAAAAGTGTTGCATTCCTTCTTCCAATTCTTTTCCTCTAATCTGTAAGTCCATTTTTAGAATCTTCCGGAAACAACTCACAATTTACAAAGAGTGTGTTAGACGCTGTTGGGACTTTTACAGATGTCCAACATCTGCCGGTTTCTCATTAGTTATTATTGGTAGAAAGCCAGGCGATTGATTGACTTCTACCTAAAACCACTGTTCCTGAAACGTTGAAAAAAAGCAAAAACAACTACTCCCAAATTCTAGAAATAGAAAAAAAAAAAAGGTCATACACCTTATTCGAGAATGTTCATAACAGTCGGGAAAGACGTGCGCCCCAGACAAGCTACAAGAAAACCCTTCAAACCCTTGCGATTCCACTCAGGGGCTTTATCTGGTTCTTTTTTTTCTGTGTCTCTGTGTCTCTGTCTCTGTCTTTCTCTCTCTGTCTCTGTGTCTGTCTGTCTGTCTGTCTCTCTCTCTCTCTCACACACACACACACACACACAGATCCAGGAGAGATAGACCAAAAGGCATGGGTGACGGCCCTGGGGCCACCTCCCCGGAGTTACGTGGCTCTCCCCGCGGCGACCCACCCATCCCCTCGGCCGGGCCGGGCTAATCATTGACCGCGCTTTACAATCGCCAGCGTCGGTCGCGCTGCGATAAGACCGAGGACGGTGCGGCGGGCGGCGGAGGCACGCGCGGCCGGGCTGCGGTGGCCGGGGGTCCCCCCGTGGGGAGGAGGGGGGGCGCGGGAGGGGAGGAAATGAATGGATTTCCTTCGGCTCCCAGCCCAGAAGCCCACGCCGCAGGACAGCCATGTCCCGCGGGGCCCTGCGAGGCCCCGCCGTCACGCTGTGGGCGTGGATGGTGCTGCTGCGAGCCCCGGCCGGCGTCTCGGGAGACGGCTCGGAGGTCTGGTCCAGCCACCCGCGGGCGAGCCCGGTGAACGCCACCCAGCTGTTCCTCTATGACACGTTCCCCACCAACTTCTCGTGGGGCGTGGGCACCGCGGCGGTGCAGGTGGAAGGGAGCCGGCCGGAGGATGGGAAGGGCCCGTCCATCTGGGATGGCTTCCTGCGCGCACCCCGGCCCGGCGTCCCCGGCGGCGGCGCCCAGCCGTCCAGCGACAGTTACCTGTTTCTGGAGAAAGACTTGTGGGCGCTGGAGTTCCTCGGAGTGTCTCTGTATCAGTTTTCCATTTCCTGGCCCAGGCTCTTCCCCGATGGGACGGTCGCCGCCGTCAACGCGAAAGGTCTCCGGTACTACGAGCGGCTGCTGGATTCTCTCCGGCTCCGGCGCGTGGAGCCCGTGGTGACTCTGTACCACTGGGACCTGCCCCTGACCCTGCAGGAACGGTACGGGGGCTGGAAGAACGGCAGCATGGTGGACTTCTTCAACGACTACGCCACGTACTGTTTCCAGACCTTCGGGGACCGGGTCAAGTACTGGATCACAATTCACAACCCGTACCTGGTGGCGTGGCATGGCTACGGTACGGGGCTGCACGCTCCCGGAGAGAAGGGGGATCGAGCAGCCGTCTACGCGGTGGGTCACAACCTCATCAAGGTATGGGACAGCCGGCTTCTTCGCAGCTCCGAGGAGGGGTTAAAAAAGAGATACTCAGCAGGTGAAAACGGTGCTCTGTATTGAATCGCGCAGGTCGTTTCAAGTCAATCGGCCACGTGCTAGCCTCCACTTGTGTGTTTCTAGTTGGTCTTCTTCATCGATTAGTTGTGGGTGAATCCTATTCGTTTCACCCAAAGTGGCTTTTCTAACATCTACAGTTATCCAGTGGAATGGGAGAAGACGAGAATCCTTTCCTGTCCGGGTGGGAAACCAAACTTTTGGGCATGTAATGAGTGGAGCTGCTATTATTGTTGTTACTATTGCTATTCCTCGTGGTAGTCAGTGGAAGGAGAGATCAATGTTAGCTAACACATACCCAGGAAATATAAACATTGAAATGCATCTATTCCACAGTGAATCTCATGTGAGTTATATAGAAAAAAAAGAGATGAGATTAATTGTTCTGGGAGTTAAATTGAGTCAGTAATATAAAATTGAGAAGACTATGCTCTACTAAGCCATTTATTGGTTGATTGATTGATTGATTGATTGATTGTCAGTCATAGGGCTTGAACTCAGGGCCTGGGTGCTGTCTCTGAACTTTTTCATTCAGGGCTAGTGTTCTACCTCTTTGAGCCACAGCACCACTTCCATCTACTAAATTTTTTCAAGCAGCAAATTGCAAAAGCTAGAGTTGATGTTGGAAAATGGTGAACTCCTTTTAAAAAAAATAATTTCATGCACTGATACATTTGACCCTCCCTCATTCCAAACTTAAGAACCAGATCTGATCACCCCACTTTAAGGATGAGAAAACTGAAACTTAGTGAGAAGCAAATGTAACTGGGGTGAATGTGAGATTTGTAAAGAAAATATGATCAGACACTTTCTTTCTTAAAAAATCTTTTGAAGAGTAATCCTTCAAGAAAGTCAGTGAGGCTGACTACTGAAAGCAGGTGTAACGTCATTACTCTAAATACTTTAATTTTGAAAGTGAAAATGTCATTAATAGAATTTTTGTAATATGCTAGAGGAAGCAATTTAACTTTGAAGACTCAAATGTTAAATGTATAGAGATAGAAAAGATGGACAGAAACATAAAATGACTCTCAGCTAACATTTCCTCTTCTTTTTGGATTTTCTGTATTCTGATACATTTATACATAGTCTTATAGTTTCTGTTACATCTGTCCTCACAGGAAACAGATTATACCTTCATTATAAGGTCACATGTATATCTTTGAATAGAATTATATAGACTACATTTTTAATGTAGTGAATATACTGTAATGTTATGAAATGAGAACTTAAATGGGAGAAAATTTGTAACTGATTAACACCTATGGAGATTATATATATGTGGTAGAATAATATTCTTTTTATTTTTCTGTGCTGGTCCTGGGTCCTGAACTCAGGGCCTGGGTGCCATCCCTGAGCATTTTCTTCTTGTTGTTCAAGGCTAGCACTCTACTACTTGAGATGCAACTCCACACTAAGCTCTTTGGTGGTTAATTAAAGAGTCTCATGGAGTTTTCTTGCCTGGGCTAGCATCAAATCTTGATCCTAATAAAATTGAAAAGAATCTCAATCCTCAGATCTCAGCCCTCTGGTTAGCTAAGATTATAGGTGTGAGTCACCAGTACCCAGATGGATAACATCCTTTTATGGATACTAAAACCCTCCCTTAATTGTTAAAATAGACGGGCATGATGGCTCACACTTGTAATCCTAGCTACTAAAGAGGCTAAGATCTGAGAAATGTAGTTCAAAGCTAGCCCACACAGAAAAGTCCCCATGAGGCTCTTATCGCCAATTAATCACTCAAAACCAGAAGTGGAGTTGTGGCTCAAATGGTAGAGCACTAGCCTTGAGCACAAGAGCTTAGGGTGCCCAGACCCTGAGTTCAAACCCCATGACCGCCAAAAAACACAAAAAAACTGTTAAACCAATTCAATCCATGTAAAGTTAAAAACATCAGTTGTACCAAGATATATAAAGTTAAAAAGTTAAATCCCAGGGGCTGAGAATGTGGCTTAGAGGTAGAGTGCTTTCCTTACATGCACAAAGCCCTGGGTTCAATTCCCCAGTAACAGAAAAAGCAGGAAGTGGTACTGTGACTCAAGTGGTAGAGTGCTAGCATTGAGCAAAAACAAGCTCAGGAACAGTGCCCAGACCCTGAGTTCAAGCCCCAGGACTGGCAAAAAAAAAAAAAGTTAAATCCCTGTCCACCTAACAATATTAAACAACAACAACAATAAACTACTATTAATAATTTCTTACCTATATTTTTCAAAGTTTTCTATACAAATATATGCTATGTGTATATTTATTTAACCTTGCATTAGGGAAGATATTATAAATTGTAAGTTTCAGTTATCTAGGAAAATGCTAACAACTATAATTTTTATGAAAAATTGTTTTAGTGATTAATTTAAAGCCTTAAAAACTATTTCATAAAACTATAAAGAAAAGCCAAGTGCTGGTGACTCACACGTGTAATCCTAACTACTCAGGAGGCTGAGGTTTGAGGATCATGATTTGAAGCCAGCCCAATCAGGAAAGTCTATGAGACTCTAATCTCAGGAAAGTCTATGAGACTGTAATCTCCAATTGTCCACCAAAAAGCTGGAAGTGGAGCTATGAGGTTCAAGTGGTAGCATGCTAGCATTTAGCAAAAAAGGACAATGCTCAGGTCCCTGAGTTCAACCCCCAAGACATATACATGACAAAAGTTTTGAGTAACAAACAGATTATTGCATCAAACTTAACTTTAAAATGCTACATTTTCATATTTTCTATTTTTATATTGACATAACTATCAACACAACTTCAGCACTTTATGATAGTGACATAAATTGTCTTGATTTAAATTGAGGGATTTGGTTTTAACTAGTTGTGTTTTCCAAATAGTTTATTTTATCCCCATAAAATTTCTAAACCCTTAGTCAAATGTCCCTTGAAATTATTCAGAAAGTGAAAGACACCATATAACCCAGTGACCCATTACACCAGAGAGAAATCTTGCAGTTTGGTAGCCTGAGATAACCCAATTCCCATTTCTCAGTCCTTACTTTACCATTAAAAAAAAAAGATTAGTTATGTGCTATTTTATGTTGCCATAAAGTTATTTTCCCTTATTATGCTTTCCTGTAACCTAGAAGATATTTTAGCATGAGATTTAAGTCTCAAAACCTATAAAATTAAGTCTAACATGAATCTCAATTTTTAAAGGTTACAGACTATTTCCCAATTCCCAATTTCTGAACATATTTCATAGTGAATACTATAGCCCTTTTAGTTCTAGAATGATCTTGAAAACACCACATCAGTGTCTTGCTTTGGGAGAAACCAAAACAGTCTAGCAGGATACAAGACTGACTGGAATTACTGAAGGCTGGTGAACAGTCTACAACAAGAATTACTTTCCATCATCCCATCTTTCAATTGATGTTCTGCTCTGAAGAGTGTGTGTGTGTGTGTGTGTGTGTGTGTGTGTGTACACGCGCGTGCACGCGTGCGCTTCTG